AAATTATTTTACTGTTTTGTAAAAAATGAAGTGTTTTTCCTTGTGATGGTTTGTTCATTTTATTTTATTGTTATTTTTATTTAATTAGAACAAGTTAATCTTTGAATAAAACCGTCATCCTGCAGATAGGCGTTAATCTCCGCCTGTCTGTGCTGTCCCGGTGTTGTAATTAATCTGCCTTTGTTGTGACGTCAGAGTAGGCGGATCCCCAGCTGCGAATGGACCAATAGGAGCGCCGGAAGTGCCTGATTGACACTTCCCTGATGAAACGCTAGTAGCCAGCTGTCAGGGCGCGCCAAAGCTCAAACCGTGTGTTCAGTGCGGTCGAGGCGGGAGGAAGCGGGACGATCCGGTTAAACGCGGCCTAAATGGACTTTAAGTGGTTTAAATAAGGTTTGGTTTCGAGCTGTGYGATCTCGGTGCTCTCGGCTGTTTGTTGCAGCGGCGGCGGGTCCACGGAGCGACTTGTGTTCGGTTCTGTCCCGACGGATCAGGCGAACCAACCGGAGAACAATGAGCCTGGTTCCGACCCATCAGCAGGTAAGATGAACCTTTACAGCCTTTAACCTGGGCTCAAACACCGGGACAGCTTCAGACTGAAGAGTAAGTAACCATCAGGAGTAAAAACAGTTTATAATTGTTGACAAAGTGATGCTAAAGTGTTAGCCACTTAGCAGCTAGCTTAGCTAGCAGCAGGGCTGTTATCGACTCTGTCGGGTTTTATTCATTAAAACTATATAAAAGTAAAGTTTTACTCCTCTGATCTGTGTGAAATCTTTAAATAAATCATCCTGGACCCTGGATCTGAGCTGGTTCTGATCAGTCTGAGGTTTTATTGAGTTAAAAAGGTAAAAACTGACTGGTTGAAGGCGCCACTTGTCTCATCCAACAGTTTAAAGACTGAATTTAGTCTGACCTGCTGTAAAACCATCCTGTCAGGCTTTTGGGTTCAAACATCTCTTTATCCTCTGGTGCAGGTTTGACCTGAACCTCATGTGGTTTTTCATCAGGACCTGGTCTCGGATCAGGTGGTCTGTTCAGGTCCTCAGTCCTGGAGAACCAGAACCTGGTGTCACTTTGATTTGTCACAAGATAATCACATAAACCCTGACTCAGCTCTGAAATAAAGCTGGACTTTGTTGAACACATCCCCTCAGAGAGTCAGGTTTTAACAAGCCTTCTTTAACCAGGTGTTTCTCTCCTTCAGATGTGAAAACGCTCCTAAAACCCACCTGTTGTTTCAGGCTGAGGGGCTGCCAGCTTCGGTCCTGACGGCACCAGAGAGCGACTCGGACAGCGGGATGAGTTCTCCGGCAGAGGAGGCTGTCGCAGAGACCGGAGACAAACAAGACCACCGTCCAGGTTCAGTAAACATGTGTTGATGTAGAGAGGAAACAGCAGGTTGTATCTGAGGGTTTCTGTCTGAAAAACAATAAGTTAAACCACAGTCCACTGCAGAGCCCCCTGTGCTCTGTGGAGACATGTAATCAGTCTCAGGGGGTCCGCTCTGAAACCTCAGGTTCAGTGAAGTCTGTCTCAGATCAGCTCTCGTGTTTCTCAAACGTCTTTCCTCAGATTCAGACGACGATGATGACATCACAGCTCACAGGAAGCCTCGACGTAACGCCATCAGAGACAGCGACAGTGAGGAAGAGGAGCCAGGCAAGAGCCTGAATGTGGCCGAAGCTCTGCTGTTGTCTCTCTCCACTGAAGAAGAGGTGGAGGCTGAGGAGCAGGAGGCCAGGAGGGAAGATGGAGGAGTGAAGAAGAGCAGGAGAGTCGCCCTGGCTCCTGAGGACAGTGAGGAGGACAGAACAGGGGGAGAGGAGGAGGTGAAAAAGGAAGAGAGGAAGAAGAGCCGGAGACATCAGGAGAAAAAGGAAAAACGCAGCAGAGTGGTGGAAAAACTGAAGAAGAAGAAGAAGAAGGAGGAGAGGTTCTGTGAACAAGATGAAGTGAGTTCTACTGTTTACTTCAGCTGAGTGTGTCCCCAACTTCAGCTGAGTGTGTCCCCAACTTTAGCTGAGTGTGTCCCCAACTTTAGCTGAGTGTGTCCCCAACTTCAGCTGAGTGTGTCCCCAACTTCAGCTGAGTGTGTCCCACACTTCGGCTGAGTGTGTCCCCAACTTCAGCTGAGTGTGTCCCACACTTTGGCTGTGACTTCAGTGACAGCTTTAATGTTTCTGACAACTCAAAGTGTCACTCGTGTGTTCTCGGTTCTGTGTTTAGGCCACGCCTCTGCCCCGGACTCTGAATGACAGCGGCTGTCCTCTGGGGGACACGGACCTGTTTGACACAGGTCTGGGTGATGATGAGGAGGATGAAGAKTCTCTAGATGCCATCCAAGCTGCAGTGAAACAGAAGCTGAAGAGACACGAGGTGAAAGCTGGACGTTTGTAAATAAAGTTTGTTGTGAAATGAATGTTTTGTTTTTAAATGAAGGTTCTGTTGGTGTGCAGGGTCCAGGCCTGCAGGAGGAGGACGAGGAGGAGGAGGAGGTCCCAGAGAAACCTCAGCGAGTGGTAAGCTGCAGCTCTGGACGCTGTGTCCAAACTGAGACCACCCTGASCGTGTGTTTGTCCCTCAGGAGAGACGAGCAGCTCGAGCCAGCAGAGAGGCCATGAAGCAGCTCCACAGTGAGTCCCAGAGGCTGGTCCGAGGTCCGTTTACCCCCCACCCACCTGGAAACCACATCCACCTGTCCAGGACTCAGTCTGAGTGTTTGACCCGTTTGTCCGTCCTCACAGAGTCCACCCTCGGTTTGCCGTACCACCTGCCAGAACCCAAGACCATCGACCAGTTCTACAAGAGGAGAAACCGTCCTGATGGTCCCGCCATGGCCCTGCTGAAGTAAGACCCACCAAAACCTGGTCCACGTGGGCTCGTCTGAGCCTCGAGTTTCAGTTTTAGATTTAAAATAATTACAAACTAAAACCTGAATGGTCCAATCAGAACCCTTCGTCCTGATTTTAATGAGTTTATTTGTTTGCTTGTTTCACTCATGTTTTTAACTCTGACAAGTCCTAACTTTATACTTTATACTTCTACTAATTCTTGAAATACTTGATTTAACTCAGTTTTTTCTTATTTCAACTATAATCAAGCGCCTCTAGTGTTCAGACATGGAACTGCATCCAGCATCGCTGGATGCAGTTCCATGTCTGAACACTAGAGGCGCTT